CTTCCGTCAGAATATCCCCTGAAGGGATCTGAGCACTGCCGTCAGGAAACACAAGAAATGACCCTGTGAGACGCCTGCTTCTCCACACGGGCAGTGTGGTTTCAGCGAAGGCCAGGGGCTACAGAGTCAGACACACTGGACACAAATCCCAGCCAGCTCCGCCACTGACAGTCACATCTCCAAGTAAACTAGCATCTCTCTGACTCAGTTTCTCTTTCATAAAATGGTTTACAACCAGCTAGCCCGTGTGTTATGACAGCTTTATTCAGGGCAACAGGGCAGCATGTGACACATGAGTGATGCTTCCCATGTGTCAGCTTGCTGTCCTCTCCCCTCAGCTCGGCGTACGTTCTCTGACACTAGGCCCCTTCAGAAATGGTGAGGTGAGCCAGGGCTGCCTGCCAACATCTCTCCGCCATGGCAATGTAAGGGCCAAAGCTACGTCATCACCCAGGGAACCTGGGTGCATTTTCCAGCTTTAGACGAAAGCTAAGCGCCTGGCTCTCTTGCTCTGTTGTGCAGAGATGTAGGCGGCTGCTCTCCCTGCTACTTTAACATTGCATTAGGTGGCAGTGATGTTTACCATGGCCCAGTGTGTCACCACAGCATTTAAGGGAAGAAATTACAAAGAAAATACCTACTTTGTTCAGTAAACACGCTCAGGAAAGAGAAAATGCAAAGCAAATGCTTTTTATATGAGTCAGCAAGCCAGCTGGGTTGGAGTCATGACACTGTGCAAACATGAGCACTCTGGAAGGCACAGGGGACCCCTAAAGTCAGCAGCCCTCCCCCTGGTCAAATTGAGGACAGCAGCCAGCGCACCCCTCATCCACACCGCACCACAGAAAGGCCGCCTCTGAGCGCTCCCAAGCCCAGCCAGGGGCTACGCGTCCTCAGCTCTGCTTTCATTACAGTGAAGAACGGCATCCGCGTGAAGCCTCCCTGCAGTGACTCAACAGCAGGTCGCACACGACTCTGCTGTTGTTTTCTGCAAATTACACCACATGTTTTCTACGCCAAGCACCCTCCAATCATTTTTGTTAGTCCACACACCACCACCAACCTAACATTCTTACGGATAATTGTTCTGTTTTATGCAGGACATGACAAGGTCAAACGATCTGCCTGAGGTCAGACAGCAGGTTTCTTAAGATCTAGGCAGAAGGACAAGGCTGAGACCCACGAGAGGCTGCCACACAAGCGGGATCCTAATCTCTCTCTATCCAAGAAAGGCAAATTGGGTAGTATGTGCAGACATTTATTTTTAATTCTGTTCTTCCCACTGCATGGTGTGACAGGGTGTAAAGAATAAGATATGCTTCCTTTTGCCACTCCTAAAAAGAACTCTTTTCAATAATTCTCCCCCTTTGAAGGAAAGACCATAGGAAAGCTGGACCTGGACCCTTGGTCAGTGCCTTCCTAATACCTTCTCTGCTACAACTCCAAATACTAAGCTGTAGATAAGAGAAACCAGTATAAAAACTGTATCCCAAATGTCAATCTACCCCAGAACTATCAAGCGCTTCTTCATACATTTTTTTTCCTACTCAACCTGAGATTGTAGCAGGACTGTGGTATTTATTCCCATAGACTATACATACAAACTGCCCCTGGAAGATGTCTGTGTAGCTATGGCCCAGGGGAATCCCCAGTCACAAAGGCACATGACATACAAGCATGTCTAGGATCTACCAGAGCCCACTGGCTAACAAGGCTGTGTGTTTTACAAGTACCCTACCTAAAAAATGTCTGTGGCCAGGCACAGTGCCACAAACCTGTAATCCCAGCACTTGGGAGGCTGAGACAGAGATCACTGTGAGTTCAAGCCAGCCTGGGCTAGAAAGTAAGTTCAAGACCAGCCTGAACTACATATTGACACCCTGTCTCTAAAGATAAAAAAAACAAAAAAACAAGTCTCTAGAATGGCTGTTAAAGAGCAACTCCGAGAACTAGAAAGAAATGCAGGAAGGGGAGGAAGGGGAGGAAGGGGAGGAAGGGGAGGAAGGGGAGGAAGGGGAGGAAGGGGCTTTTCCTGAGCAGAACCACCTCCACTGGGCTGTGGGGCATCTGAGTCTAGGTCTCCGGGCAAGCTGGCTTGGCGTGCTGCTCACGGGGGCACAGCCACACAGGTGTGCTGTGGGTTTCAGGCCACACAGTGGGCACCTGCTCACTCGCCCAGAAGCCACTCCAGGGAGGGGGAAAACATCAGCAGTAACTTGGGGCACTGGATCCAAGTCACGGCGAAAGCCCTCTTCCTGCCCACACTCTGCTCCCTGCCAGGATGCATGTTCTATTGGGTGCCGGGGGGCTCAGGGCCTGGGATGGCAGGGGAAGGAGGATTCTTTGCAGTGGAGGCGGAGATGCGACAGAGCCAACTTTCCCATCCCAGCCCGAGCCCACACTACGAACAGACACATTTTTCCATATTGGGGAATAATAATCCCTTTATCCAGCCAGTCTGGAATCTCGTAATTGATTTCAGACCTTGGGTGGAAAGTTGGGAAGATGTGGGAGATGGAAAATGGGGTGGAGAATGGAAGGAGGGAAGCCCGGAGCCAACAAAAAAGAGGGTGGGGGGATACAGCATGGCTTAACGAAGCCAACAAGGATAAAGACTTCTGATGCCCGCCACTAATGCTGCTGCGTAACAGGCCAGGGCAGCTTCCCCAGAGAAGCCCGCAAGAGGCAGGTCACAGTGGTGTGCCAGAAGCAGGCCAGGTTCTGGTCCCGGCCCTGCTGCTAGCGGCACGATCCTGGGCAAGCGTACAGGAAGTACACTTGAAGTCTGGCCTGGCTCTGACAAGCTCTTCCTTCCGTCCTGCTTGGACAGTTGCTCCATTCCTGCACACACCTACTGAGCATGGGAGGTGGGGTGGGAGTGGGGATAAGAAGCTAAATTTTTTTTTTTCTTTTTCCCGGTACTGGGAATCGAACTCACGACCTTGCGTTTGCCAGGCAGGCACTGTGCTGCTGAGCTAAATCCCCAGCCTCCGAAGCTAAATATTTTAAACCTCAAATATTTTAGGGTTAGCAGGCCACACAGTCTTTGCCACACCCACTCAACTTTGCCACTGCACTGTAGCACAAAAGGAGCCAGATAGCAGAATGCGCACTGCTACGTTCCAATCAAACTTTGTCTTTGAATTTCATATAACTTCTACATGTCATGGAATGGTTTCCTCTGATATTTTCTAAAAATATAAATGTTTAGCACACAGGCCACACAAAAGCAGATGGCAGGCAGGATTCAGCCCACAGGACACAGTTCGCCACCTTCTGCCCCCGCGGTAAGACAGTGGTGAGCAAGACAGTCTCGGTACTCGTGGCTTTGTAACTGCCAACTCTGGAGGTCTCCTCTGGCTTAGGGTGACCCAGTAAAGTGGGCGCCCTGCTTCATTTTGTCACACACTGGTAGAATCTGCTTTTCTTGTCTCTTGAAACCTCAGTATAAGCAAGATGCCTTTACTGCGGGGTCTCCACCACCACGGCGCTGGAGTTGTGCCCGGGTTCCCCGGGCTAGGGAGGAAAAGCTGGGGTTTAGTGTCATAACAGGGTGGATGGAGAGCAGCAGAAAAGAAGAGGTATGTGTATGATTGGGGAGGGCTATGATGGAACAGCAACATAAAAAAAATCAATTGTTTCTCCCAATAATTCAGAAGAAAAAAATAAAATCAGATGAGCTTGTACTCTTGCTTGTATATGCTTGGTAAGCAGGTGGTAGAAGCTGATAGAAGTCAGTAAGAGGACAGGACTGAGCTGTGGAGACTTTACACCAGCACCACCAAAGGCCCCTTTCACAATCTAGCACTGAGATCCCTCCCTAGGGAGTGTGCACTGGCCAAGGAAACGGCCATATGTATCTTCCTAACGAAGCCTGCTAGGGGAACCACTACTATCAGGCTCAGTGACAGGAGGACTCAAGAGATACAGAGGAAGGCTCTGGCACATTACCCAGAGGCCCACGGACACATCCAAATACGCCCTTCCTAAACAGGATGCCAGGGCAGGAGGAGAAACTAGGGGGGGTCTCCAGAGCATTACTGAAGGCAACAAGGACCACACAAAATCAAAATGGCTCATGGCTACTTTCCAGTTAGGGATCCTCCAGCTCATCACCTTCAACCAGAAGTCGTGACAATCATTCACTCAGTGCGGTGACACACACTGGTAATCCCAACACTCTGAAAGGATGAGGCAGAACATTCCAGCCCGGGCAACGTGGCATTTTAATGAGATTCTATCTCGAAATAAAAAATAAAAAAGGGTTGGGGATGTAGCTTAGTGAGAAGACCCTGCATTCAATCCCTAGTACCTCCGGAAACAAAAAGTCCTTACAATCATGAAAGTATAGACTGAAGAAGCTACAAGTGGCCTTGTAGATTATCCAGGTGAATGCCTTCACTTCACAGGCAGGAGAACCTGTGCCACAGAACGGATACGTAGCTTGTTCAAGATTGTGTCCATAGTTACCAGGTGTCTATCACAATACCCCAACTACATACTGTGAGAAGAAGAATGAAAAGACGAGACCCAACAGAAAGAGTAAGCCACTGAGTGCTTACTGTGTTCCCTTGGCAACCCTCACAATCACCCCACGAGGTGGGCGCCATGATTATCCCACTCTGCAGCTGAGGCTTAGGGCTCACAGCAACATAGCAACCGGCTCAAGGTCACAGAGCCAGCACAGGACTCAGCTCTGACAGAGGCAGTTCGAGTCCACAGTTGCCTCCTTCCCTGATTCTACTCCCTGTCCTGCCTGGCGATGATGCTGGCTCGGAAAGGGAGATAATGCTGTCACCAGCAGGTTCCAACACTCCCTCTGCTGTGAGAGAGGCTGTTAAATACCACAGGCTGCTACACACTACAGCACGAGCCCCCAGCCCACACTCCTGCTCTCCCAGCAACAACCTTCCAGAAAGGGTCCCCTACCGCAGGTTCAGGAGGAAACAACGGTATGAAGTCCTTTCCACCCCACATGCAGAAGGCAGGCTGGGACTTACCTGAAGCAAGTCCGTCTCCAAGCAGCGTGCTAAGGATCACCAGAGGAAGGAACATTCCATGTCCCACGGAGGCCACAACCAATGCTGAGTTGCTCTTTGGTGCTATCCTGCCATGGCACATCTTTTATCCGTCCAAGTTTTATTAAAAAGACAAAATTTAAAATCCAGAGGTAAGAATCTTAAAGCCAGCACCTAAAACAAAAAAAAAAATTTTAAAAAGGACTTTAGTAAGTGAAAACTTAGGCCAGAACTTAATTAAAAGCAAGCATTTTGGTAAAGAAGCCACAACCCCATACAAAGTTGAAAATTCTACCAACAAAATCCTTGCTGCCAGGAGGAGCCAAGCACAGCAATGGTTTTTCAGCTCCTTCTGGGGAAAGGCCAAGGCCAGCAGCTAGCTGCCGTCAGCATCCTGTCCAGGAGCCAGACGCCTGTGATGCAGCCAGGAGCCAACTCAAGCGCACCTGGACATCAGCTGGGCACGACGGAGCTTTCAAAGACCGCCCAGCTCTACCCCACCCCGGCCTCAGAGGCTCCACCGGAGAGGCAGCCGCTGACACAGAGCTGTATACCCAAGTCGGACTCTGCCTTTACCACCTGAGCTCAGAACAAGGAACCAAGGCAGGGCGAAGGGATATGAATATGAGCACGTGTCTTAGAGGCAGAAATACACCGCCTAGAGAAGGAATGCAGCAGGAGGAGCCCCGCGGCCCCAGCCAGCTGCTAACTTGCCAGAGGCTGGAGGAGCAGCTAAGGATCTGACTCCACAGCAATGAATCTCAGAAATGGCCTGATTAATCCAGGCTTGTCCGACACACCTGTGACCAGAGCGACCACATTCTGTGGGCCGTCCCTGACACGGACGGGGGCAGAGAACAGGCTACACTTGCTAATGAGCCCTGCCACCCAGCTAGCTTCAAAGAGATTTCCGAAGGGTAGAAGCTAACGTCTTTAAAAACTAAAAACAATGAGAGATCAAGACTTTAAGAATTATTTTCTATGTGCCTTTCGGGAAGAAGCCGGGTAGATGACACATTACAATGTGGATCTATTATATTTAAGCTACGTATCTGATTTCATTTGCCAGTTGTTCATACAGTTTATAACAGGTACTCCAAATAAAATTACTTCCTTTTTTAAAATTCCATACCCTCCCTTCCCTATTAATAAAGTTTTATGTGCATAGATAACAGAGCCTGCCTTCCTCAAGTCTAACAAAGGATGCCCCTGAGACCCTGCCAGACATTAACCAGACACGATTTTAATCTGCATCTGAATTCCTGACACAGGCCCATGTCCCTTCTAGGGAGGGCAACTGCAAACAACAAGAGAGTTCTCTCAGCCCAGAGACGCAGCTACGAGCGGCTTCAAAAATCATCAGCCAGGAGCAAGGACGGACCTAGCCACTGGTCCTCATCTCCTTCCCTCAAATTACTGTGGATGCAACATATTCTGCCCCCAGCTCAAACTGAGACTCCAACTTGAGCCCCTGGAGCTCAAAGGGTGGTTTGCGGAGAGGTCTAGGGTTGTCTATGAGTGACTCAGAGAGTACATAAAATTGTGTGTATGTAATGCATATACATTCACATAGCCGAGCATGGTAGCCCAAATGCCTGGATTTAAATGTTTCCCCCACTGTGGCCTTGCCACAGAACCTCTCGGCCTCAGCTTCCCACCTATGCTGTAAGGTTAGTAATCATACTGTCCGTAGGGCTGACGTGCCGTTTAGGTTCAGAGGGCTTAGCGAAGTGCTTGGCCCTCTCTAGGTCCTCAGTAACCCCTGTTGCTTTGTGTTCGGTTTTGGTGGAACTGGGGATTGAATACAGGGCTTTGCAATGAGTTTGTTTATTATTTTGAGACAGGGTCTCACTGAGTTGCTGAACTGCTCAGACTGGGCTTGAATTTACACTCCTACTGCCTCAGCTTCCCAGAGTGACGGGATTACAGATGTGTGCCACCATGCATGGCTGCTGCTGCTGTTTTAATTACCAATGAAACCCAAGCAGCAGCAATCTCCAAGCTCATCAAGCTCCACCCTCTTATTGACAGATGCCAAAACTGAAGTTCAAAGAAATTAAAGGATGTGCTCATGCTCCAGATGGCTAGCAACAGACTGAAGTGGGTCCTGCTGTACTGTTGTTTCAGATGCAGCCACACCAGGTAACCCTCAAGGCAGCAACACTGGATCATGAAGAATGCCATCTGCATGTGCCACATGACAGCTCGTGCCCAGCACATATTTAACCGGTGAATGGATGAGATGATGCTTAGGCTTTCCATGCACACATGCAAGTAGTCAGGAGAGACTGTCAGAGGAAGCAATGCTAAACTGAATCCTGAAGGATGTGTAGGATGTATCCAGGTCTAAAAACAGTGGGAAGGGAGGGAGGGAGGGAGAGAGAAAAGGAAGGGAAAAAAGGTGGCATCAAATAGAAGGAGGCTGGGGACAGGCTATGCCAGGGAGTTAAACAGCTATCCTGAAAACCAGGTTGTACTTACGAGGATAAGCAGGGAAGTTACAAGACCAAATTTATTAGGCAGATCACTCAGGCAGGGGTTGTAGTGAATTGGTGGGGGTAGGGAACTGGTGCCCAAATGATAAAGAATCTTTTTTTTTTTTGGTACTGGGAATCAAACTCAAGACCTTGTGCTTGCCAGGCAGGTGCCTGTGCCGCTGAGCTAAATCCCCGGCCCCTACAATCTTAAATTTCGTATTATCTAATAAATGTATATCTCTTTAGAGGAAAACTCAATAATTTCTGTCCCCAAGTTGTACATATTACCTGTTCTATCTATTCAATGTCTAGAATCTGTCCTCAGAAATCACATATGCAGCCGCAGGGCATGGTGGTGTATGCCTGTAATCCCAGCACTTGGGAAGCTGAGGCAGGAGGATCACTGTTGAGGTTTGTAGCCTGGGCTATAAAATGAGTTCAAGGCCAGCCTGAACTGCATAATGAGACACTGTTTCAGACGAAAAACAAAAAATCTTGTATGCAAAGCCATGAGATATATGCAGGATACTCAGTACAATGTTTGTAAAGGCAAAACATTCATCAAAGGGAGTCTGGATAAGCAAGTTAAAGTAAATCCAACAGGGGTTTAGAATATTAGGCAGTGCTTTTAAAAAGACAGGGTTTTTCAATCTGTGCCAGCATGGAACAACTGCTAAAACTGGTACAGGAAGAAAACCATTTGAATGCTTGGGTTTCTTGGAGGAGTTGTGGGGTGGAGACTGAGAATGGAACCCAGGGCCTTCACAGTGAGCTACAGCCTCAATCCTTTTTTTATTTTTCATTCTGAGATAGGGTCTCATTAAGTCACTAAGTTGCCCAGGCTGGGCCTGAACTCAAACTCTCTATCCTCTGGCCTCACCCGCCTAGAGCAGTGGAGGCGAACCCGGAGTATGTGTGCTGCTGTGGGCTGTTTGTTTCACTCAAAGCTCTAGAAGGTCTGTCAGCACTGTCTTAAGAGTAATGGGGATTGCAGGCGTGTGTCACCACACCTAACTGCATGCTTGTTTTTAAAGGTCACACAAACACACACACACACACACAGATGTGCACACACAAAGACACCTGTATGACCTGAAAATCCATCTGGAATGATGCTTAAGAAACTGGTAACTAACCACTGCCTTCAAGGAGGGCAAATGAATGGTTAACAGAGGAGAAAAAAGTTTCCACAACATGTGTTTCCTTTTAATCCCTTTGGACATTGTCCTTTGTACCCACATTAGCTATTCATATAGACAAATAATGAAATCAAGATAGTGTAGCAAGTCTTTCCCATAGACAGCCTATCCCCTCCCTCAACAAACTGACACTCAGTAAACACCCTGATTGCTTCCTCTCCCAGGAAGGCAGTCTCTTTAAGCGCTCTACCCAAGGGTCATCATGAGGAGGAGTCTTTTCTTGACATTTCCTGCATGCTCCCGCCCTTCCTCCTTTGCTAATGACTGCACCTTTAACAGGTTATTTAAAAAAAAAAGTTACTGTATCTATAGACAGTTTAAAAAAATAGGTTACTATATCTATAGATACAGTAACCTATTTTGTTTTTAAGTGTCTCATCTTACAGGACAGAGTTCTTAGCTACTGTGAATTGGAATCTCTTAACAGCTAGCACAGGCCCTGGTACCTGACGGGCAGGCCACAGATGTTTGCCAAGGATGAGGAGCCAGTACGGAACTCGAAAGTAGATGATGTACATGTATGTAAGCTCCTGATTTGCTTTGCTTTGTTTTTGTTTTTAAAGAAACAGCTGGCTCCTCTCTTACTGCTGAAGCTGCCACCTGAGCCAATTCCACTGAGCCTAAAACCTGGCCAAGTACAGAACGGATGGGGTGATAAAGCGGGGCTTTGCGAAGAGAGAGAGAAATAAAGGGCAGGCAACAGAGTACGTGCAAAGTTGGCCTCAGAATAACACAGAGGAAAGCCAACTCCCAAAGCCCCGGAGTATCAGCCAGAATAGCAGACACCAGCTCCTGTGGAAGAAGGGTCACACTCTATCATTTTAAGAGGTGATGTGCTTTCAATATCAAATTTTTTAAAAAAGCAAAATCCTCCAATTATGGCTTTAGCACATCAAGGAAAAAGAAACACATTTCAGAACAAATAGAACAAATTAAGACTGAGTATTCATTATCTCTAGAGAAATAATGAGGTTCCAACTTGGTTCAGAAAGGAACATCCCTTTCATTTAAGAATCCTTTTGGTATGTTAGTGATCGCACACTCTGATTTTTTAAAAACTGGATTTAAGCCTCATTTTCAAAGCTAGCATTCATCTGCCCTCACAGGAATGTATGTTAACTTCTAGGTGAGCAGACAGGAGGGCCGGGGCTGGCTGAGCCCCACTTCTGTCACCAGCCAGCCGGCTGGTCATATAAAGGTTCTCTAGTTTCTATTTTCATTTCTGAAAATGACTCTAAAGTCTATCACATCCACAGGGTTCTCCGCAGCTTGCACACTTTCATGTAACCCATGCCTTCCTAAAACAGCTGGCGTTTCCCCTCCAAACTACGAGGTGAAGAGAAAGGAAAACCTGCACTCACCCTTTTGGTTTTCTTCCTTGGGAATGACCGCTGTGCCTAACAGTGGGTAATACAAGCGACTCCACAACTAGACCGGCAGCACCACCTGTGACCCCAGAACACCCAGCGCTTGATGCTGCACCTGATGGTCACTGCCTTTGAGCCACGGCTCCAACCCTGGAGCCACTTACCTCATCTCCCCTACTTCCTCCTTTGTAAAGTGAGTTGTTGCTCGCTCTGACACCCTCACTAGGTTCTCGTGAGGCGCAGAGGGGACAAAAGACAAGGAAATGTTCAGGAAAACTAGAAAGACACCGGCTTCTGTTTACAGTCTCAGCCACAAGCCAAGATGGAGAATCTGCAAGTTAAGCCAGGTTCACATGGTTTACTCCCTTGTTGCCGTAGATGTTTCCAGGTTACCCCAGGAGCCTGTTAAGATTAAAGGTGCCCCAGAGTCACCTTTAACTGGCTCCTGGCCTGGGAAGGAAGTTGGAGGTGGGCCAGCCCAGAACCCTGTTGCTAGGCAGCCCAGGCCCAGATCTCCTAAGCCCATGTTTCTGGCTGCCTTGGGGCCTACTCCTACAGGAAACCCCAGTGGAGGTGCGGGCTGTGTCCCGCTGAGCTCCCCTCTGTGAAGGCAAGAGGCAGTAACTCAGGTGAGCTTGGTTTCCCAGCGCGAGGTAGGTAAAGAGAGCCTCCGTTCACACAGTGTTAGGACAAGTCATCTCCCAAACCACAGCTCATTTCCCATTAGTTAGGAGAGGGACTGGGAAAAGAAAACCAACTTAAGTCCTTTCGTTGCCTCACACTGGTCCAGCAAGCAGACGGTGAGAGCTGAGAACAAGACATTTACTCCTTCGCTCGACTGGCTTCCCCAAGCCCCATGCGATGGACAGCACCAGGACCAGTTCCCAGGTGTGACCAGAACTTCACGTCAATGACATTCCAGCAGGGCAAGTCCAAAGTTCCCCAGAGGGGGGTCCTAAGAGAAGTGGGCACCGAGGTGGGAGCTACCCAGACCCTCCAGCACCGCTCGCTCCCTTTCCTTCAGTACTCCCCACCCTTTACTCCCGCTCACCCTGAAATGATCAGGCTGTACACCAAAAGTCTGTCCTATCCCCTGCTAAGAAAGTAGATTAATTAACTTTGCAGATGCCTTCTATTTCTCCCCCCGTGGATGAACGGAACCCTCCGATCTTATTAACTTCTATTTCCATTGTGCCACAGACACCTGAGAGCTTCAAGTCACAATTTCTTCTGCTGGAACTGACAGCTGTGGCAGAACATTACTTAGTGCTGTTCAATCTCTAGCTCCTAGTCCAAAAGGCACTCATACAAACAACTGCTGACATTCTGCTTCCTCCAGATCATAAACCTTACACCTTAGCTTTCCTCCTAAACCACCTAAGCAGCCACTGCAGGGGTCCAGAGGTTTCCCTGAATTGCTACACTGTTTCTTGCTCCCACAGAATTGCTCACAGCACTCTCTGGCCATCACCCCACTCCAACGTTACATCCCAATCCCCAGACTGCAGGAACACCGGCAGACACACTACCACGTCCTCCTCAAGCCTTCTCTGCCACTCCCCAACACCTCTCTTCTAAAAACTGACAGTAGAATAAGGACCCGAACACACGAGACAGACTTGGACCCTGCTCCCCACTGAACAGTAGGTTTGGCCTCAGGCGAGTCACCCAGTTTTCCTGGTGCCCTAGGGTAGACCTGGGTGATCCCCAAATGCCCTTTCGGTTCTCAGGAATCTGGAACAGTCTCAGGAATTGGATGGGCCCTAAAGTACTTCCTTAGAAAAGGTGAGCCCGACGAAGTTCTGACTGGGAGGGGGAAATGTAAGTCTACCCTCTTGCTCTACATGAGCAGCCCTGTTCGCCTCACCCTCCAATAGCAATCCCTAGCATCTCTCCTGCTGCATTGCAGCATACCCAGGAGAGTCCATTTGCCATTTGGAGCTTAATCAATCATCAGCACATTTGTATGGGCCATCCGTACACAGTGTTCCTGAAGTACTGTCCAAAAATAACAAATGTCTAACAAACACCCAGCCTCCACACACATACAAGGGTCTCTGTAGAGCTGCAGAAGCCCAGGGAGAAAGAGAAAAGATGCAGAGAGAACAAAAGCAGCAAAGAAAACAAGGCAGACTCAAGCCAGGAGTAAGGAACAAGGCGGCACAGAGCCTCTGAGCAGGAACTCAGCCCGCCATAAATTTCGGACCTGCAGGCAAGAACCCACCTCCCAGGCCCATCCTCATCGCCGACTGCTGGGCTGATCTATGACAAACATTTCACAGCCCATCTCTGTTTCCTCATCAGTAAAAGGACGCAGTATCACTAAAGCACTCAGGGAGGCTGGGGCCTTGGAAAGGCCTGGCAGACTGGGCCAGCGTCTCTGGTCTGTCTAGGTAGTAGTTGGGTAGTCCAGGGCAAGTTATTTTCAGTTCCCATTTGTGAACTGAATACACGATACCCATGTCACTGGGTTACTGTGAGGTAAAAAAGAGAAAACACACAACAGGATGATCTGGGCAGTTGGTTAGTGCTGGCAAAGGCCTGTTCCCCTCCCAGGGGGCTGCGGCAGGCGTGCCCCCACTAAGACTCCCAAAGGGCACATCTGCAGGTGGCTTGGCAACACCCCTGAGACTAGGATCAACACACAAGGTCAGTTTACACAAAAGAGCACGCAAGTGAAGAGAGCGAACTTCCCAGTTTCTATCCCAACAAACTCCTTTTTTTTTGCATGATTGGTGGTGTTGTTTTTTGAGACATGACTATGTAGTTCAGGGTGGCCTTCGTAGCCCAGGCTGGCCTTGAAGTCACAGCGATCCTCCTGCCTCAGCGCAGAGGTGCACCACCACACCTGGCTCAGTCAAAAATATGTAAGACACTTAGTTACCACTACCCTCCTCACACCAAGAATTCAACACTTTTTTGTGACTATGACAAAGCAGTGTTAGTGTCTGAGGGAACAACGGAATACATCCACACACCAACACTCACTACACCTCAACGGATAGGTGTTACTGGCCCATTTCACTGAAGGGATCCTGAAGTCTTTCCTCCCCCAGCTTCCCTGCTGAGTCTCCAGCAAATCTGCTTCCCAAATGAAAGGTCAAGCTCAGCCCCATCTTTTCTGGGAAAACTCACCTCTTCAGCCCACCAGTCTGGGAAACTGAAGCCACAGCATCACTCCTGGGGCCGCAGATGGGACACCCAAGCACACCCGCGCACACCCCGCGGTTATCACAGGTGACCAGTGCCTGCAGAGGCCACTACCTCTGTTTCTGTGCCCCACAGCGCTTCATAAATACTTAAGAGGGAGAAAAGATAAATCCAGAAGACGTAATTTGTGCAGAAAACACAAAATGGCACAGCAGCAGCAGATGCGGAACAAGAGGTAAAAGGGTATAAATCCTCCCATCCTAAGCAGGCAGCAAAAACCGAGGCTTGGCAGAAGCCACTGTAATTGGTCTCCAGGCCCCAGAGATGCATCTGATGAGGCCGTCACACCCTCTGCTGGGTTCCTAGCAGAGCGGAGTAGAACAGGCTTCAGTACCCACTTTGCAAATGAAGTCTGGGAAGCCAGTTTGCTATCTGCCTTCTCAGGGCTCTGTGTGCCCACGGCTGTACTACAGTTCAGCAAATATTTACTGGCTGTCTTCTATGCAAGGTTTGGGCGATGAGAAAGATGCAGTGGGGCACAGTCCTTACGCTCAAGGAGTTCACAGGCACTGGAGAGAAATTACATGTTTATCCATAAACAAAACTGGTACCAGGTCCCAGAAGGACTTTAAAAAGTGCTATAAGAACACAACTGAGACACGAAACAAACATTTCTGATAGGAGGCGAAGGAGAAGAGAAAGAGGAAGCTCTGAGCTGCACTGCACCCCCTAAACTTAGACACACATTCGTGAGCTCCCAGGAAAGTGTTTTACATGCAGAGTTACTGACAAAGACAGATATAGAGAAGAACAATTTGCCTAAAAGGATGGCAGTGGAGGGGTCATGTGGTCCTTCTGTCTGCCTAGGACACTAAGTGTTGCTTCCTGGTGACAAGAAATAAGTATCTGTCTGTCTACCGTCGCCCAATGGGATGTTTAGGAGCCAAGTTCTGGCTTTTAGAATACTTAGAGCTGTGTAGGAAGCACCTCCTCCAGGTCAAAAATAGCAAATCCAAGGGACATGGCTGCTGCAGTTGTGTTTACTTCTTACCATCTCTGAGAATCACTTTCCAAAGGCCCCCAAGTGGGATGGTATAAACAGGTCTGTGTCACTTCCTGGTTCTCAGGCCTTCTGCTACATTCCCAGTCAGTCTGGGATGGCTGCCTATTTAAAAATAAACTTTAAAAACTCACCAAAAACCCCAACCTTAAACCACCCTTCTCTCTATTTCAATTTCACTAAAATTAAAAGGGGTAGAGAGCAAGAAATGAGAAAAATGACCACAAAGAACAAATTCCTCAGGGTAAAACAAAAACCTTGTGTGCAACTGAGTTCAAGGTCAAGAGACTTGGATTCTGTCTCATCTCACTAGAAAAACTGACCTTCAGCAAGCAAAATGCTTATCGCTACACAACAGCTGCTTCAGCATACTCTTAATCCCAACGAAGTTACCCAAACCTTTATGGACTCAGTTTCCGTAACTGTAGAATGACACCAATAGTACCTATTTCACGGGTTTTTTTTTTTTTTAAGTATTACATGGGAAAGGGTACACAAACGCTTAGCATAATGCTGGGGACAATGAGTCATGAAAAATGGCAGTTTATTACTACAGTCATCACAGCCATTATTATTATTTTCATCACCACTGAAAACACAAGGTTGGGACCAATGATATCTACTCAAAGGAGCTTTCAGGTTCCAAATCCTGTGACTCTTAGTCAGTCGGTCGGTCAGTCTTTCCCTCTCTCTCTGTTTCTCTCCCTGTTTCTGTGTTTCTCTCTCTCTCTCTCTTAGGGAGCTGGATAAGAAAAGGAAGACAAATTGAGTAAAGTATGACACTTAAACATATTTGTATCCTCAATCTTTACGTTAGAAACAGCAGGATATGATGAGGAAATCCACAGTGAGAAAAATGGGTCAAACTACTCTCTCCAGTGAAAATATTTTGCCTATTCCTTGTATTCAATCTACAGCAGTGTAGCAAGTTCATCCACAGCACACCAAACTGCCAATATTCTCCTGGCCAAGAAATTTGGGGAAAGGGGTAAAAAGAATTTAGATGTGTCATACACATATAGCAACTTCCCACAACGAATGTAATCATACACTGCAAACACATACTAATAGAAATCTGAAAAATAAAAACATCTTCCTGGGTG